CTCTCTCTCTCTCTCTCTCTCTCTCTCTCTCTCTCTTCCCCCAACGGGCAGCAGCGCCGGGCACCATGTTGAAACGACCACTTTGAAATTGCTCGGGCCTGTGCGAAACCCGCCACCTCAAAAACCTGCAGTGTCTTGTGTCTGGACCTCTAGGCCATGTCCGGTGGGGTGAAAGGACACTCAAAAATTACCCCGTTATTTTTCGAGGAGCGGCTAGGACCCGACAAACATCATGGGCCTCCCCTTTTTTTTTTTTTATTTTTGCCCCAGGGGCCTCCATCCGGACATGGGGACCAGACACCGGACACAGGACACCGGACTGTCTAGAACCCGGTCCGGACATCCAGGCGGTTACCATGGTAAGCATACAAAGTATGAGTGTGCATGCATGAGTGGAAAAATTAACATTTGTGCACAATCGTGTATATGGATGTATAATATGTGTAATCATTGTGTATATGTTTTATTGTATATTTGTGTGAAAAGCAAAGGAAGATGTGAGTGTGAATTATATTGAATGTATTCATGTGTATGATCCCCCTGGATGTGTCTGGTCTCAAGCTAAGTCCACATACATCCAGGGAGTCCAGCGTCTTAAGAACGTCGGACCCTCAGGAGAAGCAAATTTGGACGAGTTTTCGGCCAACAAAACTCGGTTTCAATTTCGTTCAAAAAATAAAACAATGTCAATTTTGACGAAATGGCAGTTAGAGGATCATTTTCTTTCGTCTCCGTCGATATAAGGATATGGAGTTTTGCTTACCTTTGTGATGCACTCTCTTTCAGTGAGGGGTAATAACACTCAGGGGTATGTCGAACAACCTACACACACACGTTATAAAACCGGCGAGAACTCTTGTGGGAGACGCCTGAGGACCACTGAATGTATAAAACGAACAGTTATTAGTGGAATGCAGAGCTAACCTGCGAAACGAAAAACCCTCCAGGAACCTCTTTCAGATTGGTCGAGTTTGGAAACTCATGTGTCACACTATCTTGTTTACTAAGAACGAAGGTAAAAAATAAAAACTGGACTCAAATGGAAGCTAATACCCTCAACACGAAATCATTCATTTACAATCAGTGTTTAATTATGGAATCATATAGCACGATAACAATTAAACTAATATCATTGTTGATAAGTTTTTAAGCATGTCAACATCATGAGTTTGTTTCACTTTTTCAATTTAGAATTATTTTCAATGAGAGGGACACCAATAACTTTTGTCGTTTGAACTGGGTTACCCGCCAAGCTGCGCAGGCCCCAGGGTGCATCAAACTCGCTCAGGTGGCGCTGTCAGGTCAACTCTGGGCAAAGTCCCAAGCAAGGTCTCGCACAGCCCCCCTCCTCCCCCAAAAGACAAAACTCGAAATTCCCTTAAAAAAAAAAAAAAGTAGAATTGGAAACCAAACAACTTTTGGTCGAGGGTCACCCCGAGATCCAGTATGAAATTTAAACTAAGAAATCAAATGAAAACATTAAATTGTCTCACCTCTTTAACTTTTTAAGCCCATTTGAACCTCGTGTATGATAGACAACTTTCAGTAAGACATCACGAAATTCAAAGATAAGGTCAATGAATGCAAAATTGCCCCACCGTCGGAAGGAAAAAAAATTGACCTCCCTTTCATTTTTGCCTGACCTCACCCCAAAAAGTTCATTCAAACCGCCTAACAGGGCAGCGCAGTTCGAGCGACTCGAATAGCCCAACTTTTAAATTGTTCAAGACTTAGTAATAACCTACATAGCACCTTGTTCGCCTTCGGAGGCGAACGCGAACATTTTCACCTGAACGCGAAAAAGCGCCTAAAAACCTCCAAACGCAAACATAAAAAATATTTAAAAAAAACAAAGTTCTCAAAACAATCTGGAAAAAAATAAACGTTATGTAGTATAAGTCTGAATAACAATACAAGCAACTTTTTCTTTGGATTCATGTTCAAATTCGTAGCCAATCATGAGTTAAAAATCAAAACCGGATTTTTTTATTATTTTTTTTACGAAAAAATAATTATGTTCGCCCGAACATGTTCGCGAGCTGTTCGCGCGAACATGAAGGGGCGCGAACACGTTCGCCGTGCTACGCAGGCAATAACGATGATTTTTCTTCCCTTTCTTATTCCTAACCTTTTGTTTTTTTTTTTCTTCATCAAGTATAGAAGGTCCAAGAAGGAAAAGAAGTACGTGAAACATTTCTTATCAATGATTCACTTGGCAAGCCATGAATTTATTAATAAATGAAGATAAAATCAAGCAATCGGTGTTTAAGATAAGATTAAAGTTCTATTGTTTGTAAAATGGTTACAAGGATATGTTGTATACAAGTGTATGAAAGCTAAAGCAAAACAATGTGGTATTCAACTCATAGTATCGTATTAAATTAATAATGTTTCATATCGGTTAATGAGCATAGATAAGGATTATAAGGTATTGACATGTTTCAAGTCAAAGCTAGGTATCTTGTACTAACAATTGAATATACGGTATCTTGTATAAACAAGCGAAATTGAATCATTAAAAAAAAAAAAAATGCTAACTTACACAACTTAAATAAAGATTTTCATAAGGTTATACATTTGAAATTAAATCGTACATTTTACAATAATAATACAAGTATAAATAAAACTTTATAAAATAAAATTTTATAAAATAAGATAAGGTTTTCTTTGATATTGACCAACCTCAAGTGATGGAATTGATGCGATAATGAAATTTTTACTTCCTTCAATATCCAAGCAAGGATTTCCGATCAAATACCTGCATAAGAAACGAGTTGAAAATTTAAGACTCGATCATCTATCGTACATTCAACAAATTGCAAAGCTTGTATTAACTAATATATCTCATTCATTAACAAAATACAAGAAAACAATTCTAGAAAAAAAAGTCACAAAAGGGGACTTGCCGATTTGGTGTTTTTTACTACAACTTTATGCATTTCTTCAATATCATACATTTTTTCAACCTCAAATAGGTCATTGCCTTCTTTCAAACGTTTGTAGTTTCACATCCTTATACACTTGTGTTACGATCTTGCTCATTCCCAAAGTGCAGATTCACAATGAAAGACAATGTCATCCAATTGCGAAATGAAAGCCCTTGCAAAGAGATAGAGACCAAAGAAGAGAGAGAGAAGAAAAAGAAAAAGAAAAAGAAAAAGAAAAAAAAAAAGAAGAAAAAGAAGCAGAAGAAGAAGATGTACACCAACAAAACCAATGACAAATCCCCCGTCTCACTCCACCTTCCTCCTCCTCCTTCACTTCGCCAATCTTATTTTTCTTCCAATAATAATAGTAACAATGAGTGGATGAACCGGAATCAATATGATTTGAAGTTTCCTCTTACTGCTGACTCAACAACAGGTCCACCATAGCTATGACTTCCCCCCTTCTTCCTCCTCTCACATGCCTAGGCTATGGCGGACTACTGAGGGTTCTGCCCTCCTGTGCCAAGGACAATGCAAAGCAGCTATGTCGTTGCACTCCTGTCCAAAGGACAACCAAAAGCAGTCATGCCGCTGCTCACTAAGCCGCCATGCCTGACTCTGCCTCGAGCTTCCTTTGTGTGGTATTACCCCAATTGGGGTCTTCCAAATGCAGCGCCCAACAAGGTGATGAAGATGGTATCCACCATAGCCAGGTAGTTACCTCACCACTCTCCTCCTTCGCCCCCTTCTTCCTCCTCCTCAGGCCGGGTTGCTCGCCATAGCCAGGTTGAGCGCCCAGCTGCTCCTCTCCTCCAGGCAGCGCTTCCCAAGTCCGGTGCTTGGCTCCAGCGGCATGTCGCCAATCCCTGCATACCGAAAATGAGGAGTTGCTTGCTCCTCCGTAAGATATAGCGACTTAATGGCCTCTTAGGCGGGGACTTCCTAGGCTGAGCGGTCTCCTAGTAACCGGTACCTCCTCCCTTTCGTAGGGAAACATCATTCCAGGCTTTGCTATTGTCCGGACAGGCCGTAGACTCAGGCTACTTAGACTGGTACCGGCTTACCTCTAACCTACCGCTATTGGGCCTCTAAAAATGCCAACTTTTGTCTTCTTCTGCTCGGCCTCCAGTACCCGACACTTCTACCACTACTTGAGTGGTACCGACCTACCAGCTACTTCAGTGTTTTTCTCGTTGCTCTAAGTGCCGTGGGCCTACCCCTACTACTTGAGTGTTTTCCCCGCTGCAACCTTCAGAGTCACGGTCACAGGTAAGTACTAGCCCTACGGGGTCTTTCAACCAACAAGCACCTTTGCGGGTCACACACACACTCAATCTACAAGCACTCAGACAGGCACGCAAACCAGCAGGCACGTACACACACACAGACTTAGAAATCACAGCAAAATGCGAAAATCTCAACAAGGCATTCATTCCAGCGGCAAATCCTAGAAATCATCAGTGTTCTCAGTTTGTGTTTTGGTGGGTCATTACACTACCTCCCTCTCAAGAGCGAGGTCCCTTCGAGCGAGTAACTCATTCAGAGTCGGCACAAAATGCATCGTAGGCGTAGATCAGAAAGAGAGCTTTGGTATAACCATGAGGAGTGAGTTTTGCAGGCAACCTAAGCAATTTGTCCATCAACGATTTGTCGTTCATAAGCGTTAACAACACGGGAAACATTCTTTAGCAACTCTTTTCGGTCGATCCAGTAGAACTCGTTCAACGGGTGATAAAGGAAACAATTTGTTCCTCCCTCTTCCTTCATGGGAAACAATTTTATCTATTTCGTGGTCACCGTTGAAAGGACGAGGTATCATAGGATCTCGGAAGGGAAAAGTCTCATCATCGATGAGTGGAAACAATTTGGACGCGTGAAAGATCGGATTTGTGAGCAGATGAGGAGACACGTCAATCGCATACGAAGGACCAAAATCATCCCCTACCACCTTTAGAAGTTGCCCTGTGTTACCGCGCGTTCGCGTTCAGGCTTTGAACGCGGTGAACGCGCGTTCAATAAACGGCGGTAAACGTGTTTGATGCGTTTGCGCAGGGGGTTGTGCGGGGTGGGGGGGGCCCTTTGGGCAGTGTGGGGAGCAACGGCGGTG